GGAAGGTGGGTTGAATGTTTTCTGTGTTGTTCCTGCTTGACATGTTAACAAATCCGTGCCCTGGATTCAGTGCATTGTTGTTAAGAGTAACGTTAGTACACACTCGACTGTACAGTACTAAACGTACTGTGCATTCAGTAAAAGGAAGTTAAAAAACATGCAGTAAGAGACATGAAAAATGCTGCAATCTTATAGTTCCAGAAAAAGATCAAACTGGTAAGAATAACCACTATTCACCCCCATCACCTCTGTGGAGTCCTTCCGTTTCCTGGGCACCACCATCACCCAGGACCTCAAGTGGGAGCCGACCATCAGCTCCCTCATCAAGAAGGCCCAGCAGAGGATGTACTTCCTGCGGCAGCTCAGGAAAGCCAAGCTGCCTGCACAGATGTTGGTGCAGTTCTACACGGCCATCATCGAGTCCATCCTCACCTCCTCCATCACCGTGTGGTTCGCTGGAGCCACAGTCAGGGACAAACAGAGACTACAGCGCATTGTGCGCTCTGCAGAGGAAGTGATCGGCCGCAGCCTTCCATCGCTGCAGGACCTGTACGTCGCCCGAGCTCGAGGCCGGGCTGGTCGTATCACAGCCGACCCCTCTCACCCTGCACATGGACTATTCCAACCACTCCCCTCAGGCAGGAGGCTGCGGTCCATCAGGACTAGAACCTCCCGCCACAAGAACAGTTTCTTCCCCTCTGCTGTTGGACTCTTGAACACTTCTTAACCTGTCCCCCCGCCCTTTATAAAGTCACTTTACTGCCCATCATACGTCACTTTACTTCACTGTACTGCTGTCACCTTACATTGTGTGCACCATGTGCACTTGTATATTGTAAATAGTAACTGTAACTCTATTTTAAATTTAAATTTATTCTTTAGAAGTGTTTTTTATTCTTATTTTTATTATCTCTTTTTGACTGTTGCACTGAGCCAAAGCAATTTCCAAGTCTGTGACCTCCCGTTACTTACGTTGGCAATAAAAATGATTCTGATTCTGATTCTGATTCTGATTCTGATTATGTAGCCAACTCTCAGCCCCCGGCAACCCCACTGTGCAAGTGTAGTTTTCAGTTTATACATGTTTTTTATAGGTAGATTCTAAGGGACTTTTATTTTACAATTATGATTTCTTTTTTTAAGAGTTGTTGTAACGAGTACATTTCTCCATTGTGAGAACAATAAAGTGTTATCTTAAGTCAGACACCACAGTACATGCATTGCAGCTAGTGTTATAGAGCAAGACACAGGCAGAAGAACCACACACAAATACACACTGTCATCAATACATGTCATATTAGTAATACTGTTAATGTAAATGTGGGTGATATATTTTAATTTTGTAAATTTGTCTGACAGGTACACCTTTCTTGGCGTTGACTGCCTCTGCTGACATCAAATCCAGAAACCGAGTCACTAGACTACTTCATATGGACAGTGTCGTTCACATCATCGCTAGACCTAACAAGACCAACATCCGTCTTGGATTGCGCAAGGTGCCCAGCAATGAACTGAACTGCTTAGACTGGATTGTGCAACATGTAAAGGACAAGGGCTCAACCATGCAGCCTGTACTTATTTACTGTCAAAAAATGACAACAGTGGGGAGGGTCTTTTCTTACTTCAAGGGGGAACTGCAACAGTACGCCTGGGTAGACTGTGATCAAGAGCATAAACGTGAGAACCTCCTGATAGGTATGTTTCACAGCAAGTCCCTCCCCCAAAACAAGGACAGAGTGTTGGCTTCACTGAGGGGGCAAGGGAATTGCCGTGTAGTAGTTGCAACAACAGCTTTGGGAATGGGCCTGAATTTCCCTAATGTTTCACATGTGGTGATGTATGGTGTTCCAGGGCACCTAGAGTCCATAATACAACAGGTGGGGAGGGCTGGAAGAAATGGTCAGCCAGCTCATGGCATCATATACAACACTGGAAAGAATTATAAGACTGAAGAAGAGGTAAAAGAAGTGCTTGCTCTTCGCAATACATGTTTCAGGAAAATTATTTTCTCACATTTTGAGGCTGAACCCAGCCTTGTAGAACCAGGCCATCTACTGTATGTTGCACTTACTGTCATACTGTTTGTTCTTGTTCATCTGGCACATGCAAAGAACCCACCCCAGATTATGAACAGATTCAGGGCAAGCGGGTTAACTTGAGATCTAGGCACGTGACTGCAAAGGACAAGTCTTTGATTGCATATTTGCTGAATGGATACAGAGCCAGCCTAATCACTCCATCTACTCGGCTCTTCACCTCACCTGAATTGTGGACTGGATTCAGTCAACAACTGGTGTCAACATTCCTGTCTTCAGATTGGAGCATGCCAAGGAGATTTTAAATATCATAAGTGATGTGTTTGGAGATGTGGATGCAGATGTGGATGCAGAACAGCCGTCCGATTCAGGGGGGGTTACACTGCGCCAGATCTTTATTACAGTGGCTATTTTGACACTGCTGATGATGATGATGATGATGAACTCAGGAGCCATGTTAGTAGCTCAGAGTCAGAGCAGTAATTTCAATGAGAGTTTCATTTACTTCTGTGTGTTCACATCATTGGTTACTCATTGTGCATATTTTTGGAAAAGTTTCTCATTTTGTACATTTCTACAACCCAAAACTGTCCTTAATAAACCTGATTATTTTCTTCAAAACATGTTTGTAGGATCTTAATTCAAGTATATAACAAGATACATGTCTATGGCTTCTGTAGAAAGGTTAACTAGGAAAGACATACAAAATATACTGTAGTGTACTATAGATTTTTTATTTAACTAATGTGTATGTACAACATCTATATCAGAATCAGAATCAGAATCAGAATCATTTTTATTGCCAACGTAAGTAACGGGAGGTCACAGACTTGGAAATTGCTTTGGCTCAGTGCAACAGTCAAAAAGAGATAATAAAAATAAGAATAAAAAACACTTCTAAAGAATAAATTTAAATTTAAAATAGAGTTACAGTTACTATTTACAATATACAAGTGCACATGGTGCACACAATGTAAGGTGACAGCAGTACAGTGAAGTAAAGTGACGTATGATGGGCAGTAAAGTGACTTTATAAAGGGCGGGGGGACAGGTTAAGAAGTGTTCAAGAGTCCAACAGCAGAGGGGAAGAAACTGTTCTTGTGGCGGGAGGTTCTAGTCCTGATGGACCGCAGCCTCCTGCCTGAGGGGAGTGGTTGGAATAGTCCATGTGCAGGGTGAGAGGGGTCGGCTGTGATACGACCAGCCCGGCCTCGAGCTCGGGCGACGTACAGGTCCTGCAGCGATGGAAGGCTGCGGCCGATCACTTCCTCTGCAGAGCGCACAATGCGCTGTAGTCTCTGTTTGTCCCTGACTGTGGCTCCAGCGAACCACACGGTGATGGAGGAGGTGAGGATGGACTCGATGATGGCCGTGTAGAACTGCACCAACATCTGTGCAGGCAGCTTGGCTTTCCTGAGCTGCCGCAGGAAGTACATCCTCTGCTGGGCCTTCTTGATGAGGGAGCTGATGGTCGGCTCCCACTTGAGGTCCTGGGTGATGGTGGTGCCCAGGAAACGGAAGGACTCCACAGAGGTGATGGGGGAGTCCATCACGGAGGGTGGGGGCGGGGGGACAGTGCTCTTCCTGAAGTCCACAATCATCTCCACTGTCTTCTGGGCGTTCAGCTCCAGGTTGTTACCACTGCACCAGGACACCAGCCGGTCCACCTCCCTCCTGTAGGCGGACTCATCGTTGTTGGAGATGAGTCCAATGAGGGTGGTGTCGTCCGCGAACTTGATCAGCTTCACGGAGTCGTGGCTGGAGGTGCAGTGGTTGGTGTACAGGGAGAAGAGCAGGGGAGAAAGAACACAGCCCTGTGGGGCTCCTGTATTTATAATCCGAGAGTCCGAGACATTCTTCCCCAGACGCACTCGCTGCTTCCTGTCCGTCAGGAAGTCAGTGATCCACCTGCAGGTGGAATCGGGCACGTTGAGCTGGGAGAGCTTGTCCTGGAGCAGGGATGGCAGGATTGTGTTGAAGGCAGAGCTGAAGTCCACGAACAGGACCCTGGCGTAGGTCCCTGGGGAGTCCAGGTGCTGTAGGATGTGGTGGAGGGCCAGGTTAATGGCGTCGTCTACAGATCTGTTGGCTCTGTAGGCGAACTGCAGGGGGTCCAGGAGGGGGGAGGTGAGGGACTTGAGATGGGAGAGAACCAGGCGTTCAAATGACTTCATGACGACAGACGTAAGTGCTACAGGTCTGTAGTCATTGAGTCCTGTGATCCTGGGCTTCTTCGGGACGGGGACAATAATGGAGGATTTGAAGCAGGCCGGGACATGGCAGGACTGCAGAGAGGTGTTGAAAATGTCCGTGAACACAGGAGTAAGCTCACTGGCGCAGTGTCTCAGAGTGGCCGGAGACACGTGGTCCGGGCCAGGAGCTTTGCGGGGGTGCAGCCTCAGGAAGAGTTGTTTAATCTCTTTAGCGGCTATTGTTAGGCTGGGGGCAGGGCTGATGGGTGGGTCGTTAGAGTAGTGGGGGGTGGGGGAGGGAGAGGTGTCAGGGGCAGCATCAAAGCGACTGAAAAATAAGTTCAGATCGTCAGCTAGCTTGTGGTCATCAGCACAGGGGGGGGCTTTGGGCTTGTAGTTGGTGATCTCCCGTAGGCCCCTCCAGACAGAAGCAGTATCGTTGTTACCAAACTGCTCCTGTAGTCGTTCTCTGTGCCGGGACTTGGCTGCTTTCAGTTCTTTCCTGAACTGATATTTAGCTGCTTTGTAGCCGCTGCGGTCCCCCTCCCTGAAAGCAGACTCCTTTGCTTTCCTGAGCTGCCGGAGTTTAGCAGTGAACCAGGGTTTGTCGTTGTTATAGATGACCCTGGTCCTTGTTGGAATGATGCTATCCTCACAGAAGTGGATGTATGACGTCACAGTGTCCGTATATTCATCCAAGCTGTCTGTGGCAGCTCTGAAAAGGTCCCAGTCTGTAGATTCCATGCATGCGCGCAGCTCTTCCACAGCTTCATCAGACCACACTTTGGAGCTCCTCACTGCAGGTTTCGAGAGCTTTAGTCTCTGTCTGTAAGCAGGAACCAGATGTATCATGGAGTGATCTGAGAAGCCGAGGGCTGGCTTGGGAACAGCGCGAAAAGCTCCGCGCACGGTGGTGTAACAGTGATCCAGAGTGTTCTCCTCTCTGGTCGGGCATTTGATAAACTGTCTGTATTTGGGTAATTCCTGGCTCAAGTTTCCCTTATTAAAATCCCCCAGGATAATAATCAGAGAGTCCGGGTATAAGCGTTCCATACACAGTACTTGCTCTGCGAGTGCGCGCTGAGCCTCGCGCGCGTCCGCGCATGGCGGTATGTAAACAGAGGCAAGAATGAATGAAACAATTTCCCGCGGGGAGTAATATGGTTTACAATGAATGAAAAGATATTCCAGAGCAGGAGAGCAGTGCTTGGAGATCACTGTCACATCGTTACACCAGTTTGTATTGACGTAGAAACAGAGCCCTCCGCCTCTGCTCTTCCCTGAGAGCGCACAATGGCGATCCGCGCGAAACAGCCCAAAGCCCTGCAGCTCCAGAGCGCAGTCCGGGATCCGCTCATTTAGCCAGGTCTCAGTGAAGCAGAGGACACAGGATGTGGCGAAGTCCTTGTTTCTTCTCATGAGCAGGCTGAGTTCGTCCATCTTATTGCCCAGTGAGCGTACGTTGGAGAGAAAAATGCCGGGGAGAGCCGTGCGCGCTCCTCTCCTCCTAAGACGCACGAGCAGGCCTCCTCGCTTTCCCCTTTTACGGGCCCACACTTTTTTGGCTAGAACATGAACTAAATCAGCCGCAGATGCCAAGAAAACAGGCAATAGGTCCATGGGAACGGTGGGTCGGATGTTCATAAGTTCCTCACGGGTGTAGGAACAGCCAGATGCACAGTTAAAAAGTAAAAACAAAAGAAAAAGAGAGCAGCAAAGAGCCATGTCGACCGTACGAGGCGCCATCTTGTGGTAATGTACATACATAATGTACATACATAATGTCTATATACATGTGACATAGTTCAAGCAAGCCTGAGATCTGTACGAAACAAGTACGAGGGTATGGTAAAACCAGGCTAGGTAAGAACAAAGCGGCGTCTTGTCAATTATCAAACCGAGCTTTAGCAAATGCGATGCTATATTGTCTTCCTTCTTTTCGAATACTAATTTGCTGTTTCCAATAACTCCACCAACTCTTAAATTTGTCTCGCAAAGCCTGCAGCTATCGTTCACAGCCATCTTCGTCTCCAAACCCGCATTTCTCTCTCGGATACAACTTCCTTAGCCTGGTTTTACCATACCCTCGTACTTGTTTCGTACATCCCGGGAAAAAAGATTTGACCGGAGTTTACGGATGGCAAAGGCCAGGCTACAACTTCCTGTAAGCGTCACTTCTTCTTCTTCTTCTTGAAATCTCCGGCATGCTGTATGCAGGAATGCACAAGGCTGCCCCCAAGAGTTATGATAGCTTGCGTCACTCACTCGGGCGCATAACATACGTCACAACCAAACGCTAGTGATTGGATAAAATCAGATCCAATCGTTTCAAACTTTAAACAAACTTCACCCCTCCCACTTGTAAACAGAGCTCAATTGAGAAAGTCCAGACCCTCTGTACGAAACAAGTACGAGGGTATGGTAAAACCAGGCTACAACAGCAGTGGTACTTATTGAATACCAGGCTATTTTCAGAAGCTTAAATCCAAACCATTTTTGAGGATGTTTAGAAAGAAACGTTTTCTGCTAAATCTGGGGCGACAGTAGCTCAGCATTGGCCTTAAGGCCAGAAGGTTGTGGGTTCAATTCCCACCTCTGCACCTTCTCCACCGACTCCCACTGATGACTGCTGTCGTTGTGTCCTTGGGCAAGGCACTTAACCCCACATTGCCCACTGAAAGATCAAGGCTATGCTCACACTCAGAGAGCAGCCGTCCTCCTGTGGACTCACCACCCGCAGAGGGTCAGTGAGGGGCTGGTGCTATGAGACTTGGGTGGCATCTCTGACTGTCACCCCCCTGACCCAGAAATGGATTAAAGGGTAGAAAATGGATGGATGGTTTTCTGCTAAATCCCATTTGAAATGTCAGGAGGAGAAAACCGTTTCTTTGTGTCTCCGTTATTGAGAAATTCCAATATGGCTGGTTTTCACCAAAAGAGATTTTACTAAAAACCAGGCAGTGTGTCCGGGGCACGATAAAGTGCTGTGTGCACACACACGTAGACAATGCCCAAATATGGGCGAGTTCTGCTGATCTTTCGGCCCCCAGCGTTGTTTCAGGTTTTAGAGATGTCTTCAGAGATACAGGCTTTGTGCCTGGAGGGGTGAACGTTTCTGAAGAAGGAGAAGTTTCGGAGTCAGACCCTGGGGAGAGACAGCAGACTCCGTACATAGACCTGGTCTGTGATCAGGACCATCGTCAGGACAAACACCAACTCTGAACCTTTGCATTTGACAATTCCAAATCGTCTGGTTTCATTTTCCTGAGGAAACAGATGATGTTTAATGTATTGGAAAATACACAGCACACTCGGATAGATGTCCAAAAGATCTAGTATTTATTACGTTTCGGCCTTAGCCTTCGTCAGATCATTTTTATCTTATTCATTTGGATCACAATATACAAAATGGTGCCAACCCAGGTGCTATAAGCCCCTTCTAACGAGTGGGAGGTCCCAGTGTGGTGTGACACCCAGTGAATTCAGCCAGTCTAAAATCAAAAAGCAGAATTAATACATAGAAGAAATCAACTTATAAAATGTATACAGATAATCATAAGAAACAACTGAGGTCAAAGTCCACATTTAGTCCATAAGGAGCTAAAGTCTTTAAGTGATGGATCCAAAAGTGCTCTCTTTTAGACAAAAGCACTTCCAGGTTTCCACCTCTTGGGGGTAGCGTTACATGTTCAATACCAATATATCTTAATGAAGAGATTGGATGATTGAATTCTATAAAATGAGCTGCTACAGGGTAATTTAAGTTTTTGCATCTGATAGTGCTTCTATGTTCTGCAATACGTGTTTTTAAAGCCCTGCTGGTTTTTCCTACATAGGCTTTACCACAAGGACAAGTGATCATGTAAATAACAGATTTTGTATTGCAGGATATAATTCCTTTGATGGGTATAACTTTACCAGTGTGGGGATGCTTGAAATTGGTGCACCGATAGGTGTAATTGCACTGACTACATCCACCACACCGGCGATTGCCATCAGGGATAGGAGTCAGGATAGTTTGGCCTGTAGTGGTTGGATTTGGGGGAAGATAGGAATGTACAAGTCTATCCCTCAAGTTTCTTCCTCTTTTGTAGACCACCAGGGGCTGCTCTTTAAAAGCTCCCCCCAAGGCTGAATCAGTCTGTAGTATATGCCAGTGTTTTTATATAATCTTTTTGAACTGTTCAGCAGGTTTAGAATAAACAGTAGAGAATATAGTCCGTTTTGAGGCAGTTTTTGGGGGATTTACCCTAAGAAAATCAGATTTTGGCTTACCCTTGATTTTTGTGGCAGCGTCATTCAGAACAGTTTTTTTATATCCTCTTTGCTCAAAGTTTGTCATCATGTTGCCTAGATTTCTTTCAAAGTCTTCATTATTGTGGCATATTCTCCTAAGCCTACAAAATTGGCTGTATGGGAGACTATTTTTCAGTGGAAGTGGATGGTTGGAGTCGGCTCTAAGTAATGAGTTTCTTGCTGTAGGCTTTTTGTATAAGTCCGTATACAGCTGATTCTCCCCTCTAATAATCCATAAATCCAGAAAACTCAAGTGCGCTTGATCAAAGTCCATGGAGAATGATATAAATGAGCAGCAGGAGTTCAAATATGTAAAAAACGCTTCAAGTCTTTGTTTTGTACCCTTGAATAAGCAAAATACATCATCCAAATATCTCTTCCACATGCACACATTTTGTTTGATGTTTAACATAGGTTTGTTATGAATCTTCTATTTTCTGGTCGCTCTTTACCATCAAAGCTGCAAGTAAATAAAAATAATCGAATAAATAATAATACATTTTAGGGGCCACTAAAAATGGTCCTGCAGGCCGTATTTGGCCCACAGGCCTGAGTTTGACCTGCCTGGACTACATGGTTAAATGTCTTTACACTGTAAATACATGTAAATAAATACATTATGAGACGTCACTGAACTTCAACAGCACAGACCAATCAGTTTTCATTGGTTTTAGATTGTCATATTTTCAGTTCTAACAAGGTGTGTTAGAGTCTGTACTTATGAAAATAATGAAATGTAATTTTATGTTATTGGGAGGCCACACGGGAACAAGGAAGGCTTTTTGAAGCAAATTGGTAATTTGAGCACATTCTGACATTTTCCAGTGGAACAAGACTTTAGTCTTATTTCAAGAACGGTTGCTTTATTTTCTCATTCCCCACAGAGATATTTCTGTATCAATACAATTTATTCTTTTATAGCCCAGAATCACAACAGCATCATCTCAGAGACTTAACAAAACCATTGAAATCACCAACACAGATCAGGATCAGAGAATCAACAGTTTAAACACATACAGAATATAGAACACATGTTGATAAATGTCATACATGTAGAATGTTAAAGTGTCCTGGATCATCACAGTCTTTATGTTAGACACAAACTGTCCAACAGACCCTCCTGCATCAGAGGAAAAACTCTAAACCCAGTGGGAAAAAGGTGAGAAATCTCAGATCCACATGAGAAAGGGATCCGCTCCCACAGACGGACGGGCTGTAGATCCAGGACCTAAGCTACGGGACGTGGACCAGTGGCCGCTGAACGTGGACAGGTCTGGTGCAGGACTGAAGCACTCCCAGGCGGGGCAGTCCGCAGGTGTAGATGGAGGAGGCCAGGTCCAGAGGTCCCGTTGTCGCACCATGGAACAGACAATGGGACAACGGGTGAATAGCAATGAACAAACTACAGTCAAAATCCAAATAATGCTAAACAGATAAAGTAGGAAGGAGGAGAGGATAGTGCTGTTACCATACTTCTCCAGCAGGGGGCTCCCTATGCAGCTTGACTGACAGTCTGAGGAGTTTAGCCTTCCCTAAGTCTTACCTTCCTAACCATATGCTAAACTAAAGAGGACTGTTTTAGCCTAGCCTGGAACATAGGGTTGAAGATGCAGCGGACCGGGTCCCACATACGCAGACTCCAAGACCGGACGAAACCTGACCGGACAAAACAACCTAACCAAATGCTAAGTTGAAAAAGAGAGTTTTAAGCCTGGCCTTAAATGTAGAGACAGTGTCTGCTTCCTTAACGTGCGTGGGGAGCTGGTCCATAGTAAAGGAGCTTGGTAACTAAATGCTCTGCCACCGACTGTGCTTTTTGAGACCGTAGGAACCACCAGACGTTTTTTTAAAACAAGATAATTTAACTTGCCCCATAGAGAAGTTACTAATTTTGAGCAAAGCTTACAGGTCTCCAGCTGCATATACAGTGCCTTGCGAAAATATTTGCCCCCCTTGAACCTTTCAACATTTCGCCACATTTCAGGCTTCAAACATAAAAATATAAAAATTACATTTTTGGTCAAGAATCAACAACAAGTGGGACACAATCGTGAAGTGGAACGAAATTTATTGAATAATTTAAACTTTTTTAACAAATAAAAAACTGAAAAGTGGGGCGTGCAATATTATTCGGCCCCCTTGCGCTAATACTTTGTAGCGCCACCTTTTCCTGCAATTACAGCTGCAAGTCGCTTGGGGTATGTCGCTATCAGTTTTTCACATCGAGAGACTGAAATTCTTGCCCATTCTTCCTTTCAAAACAGCTCGAGCTCAGTGAGGTTGGATGGAGAGCGTTTGTGAACAGCAGTCTTCAGCTCTTTCCACAGATTCTCGATTGGATTCAGGTC